CCTCCCACTCATGCCTGGCTGGAGTGTGGCAGGTGCTGCCACCTGGGACCCTCAGAGCAGGGTCAGGCACTCCAGCCTGTCTGACCCCCAGACACGCCATGCTGCCAGCGGGCTCACCCCTTCCCGTCTCCCCAGGGAAGTTCGCCATCCGTCCCGACAAGAAGTCCAGCCCTGTCATCAGGACGGTGAAGTGTGTTGGCATGATCGCGGGAGGGACCGGTAGGTGGACCAGAGCTCCTCCTGGAGGCCATGTCGTGGGGGGTGGGTGCGCTGTGGCGACCGGGAGGTCTGGGGTGCAGTCTGCTATTTGGGGTCCCCGCCGTGCCCGTGTGTATGCAGGCGCTCACTCAGTGCCTCGGGGCCTGGCGTCTTGCAGGCATCACGCCGATGCTGCAGATCATCCGTGCCATCATGAAGAACCCGGACGACCCCACGGTGTGCCACCTGCTCTTTGCCAACCAGGTGAGGGGGCACCCCGTGGTGTGCAAACTCGGTGCCTCAGAGGGGACTCGGCCTGGCCAGCATGGTGGGGTTGGGTTTGCAGTCAGCCCAGCCTCTGCCTGAGTGGGGCTGCCAGAAAGGGGCCCCTGGGGTGCTCTCCCTGCCTCCCCATGCTTCCTCGGAGCAAACCGCATGCTCCTTCCACCTTAAGCAGAGTTAGGGACCCAGTAATGGAGTGGGAGGGGCCGTGGCCTGGGTTTAGGCCAGCTGGAAACCAGGGGCCGTTATACAAATAAGGTCCCTGAGCTAGAGGGTGGAGGCGGGGTTTGAACCCTGATCTGTCTGATCCCTGATTCCTGCTTGCCTGCCTGCTCCAGTGCTGTGTGGCTCTGGATGCGTCACTGTCCCGCCCTGGGCCCCACTCTCATCCGTAGAACGAGCCGGCAGGGCCAGGTGGTTGTGAGGGTCTCCCAGGTCCCACCTGAGGCTGTGTGTACAGGGCAGGCCGAGGTGAGCCTCCTGCCCCATAGCATAGCATGGGGGCCGGGTCTCTCAGACGTGGTTCAGGTCAGCTCATCCCAGGTCCGCCTGGCCCACAGTCCCCACGGCCTCCACCATGGGAGGAAACCGAGCCCAGAGGTTCTGGGACGTGGGTCCATAGACCCACCCTGCTCGGCTGGGGGTAACTGCCCCAGGCCAGCTGAGGTGACCTTGACTACCCAGGGGTGGGGAGGAAGAGCCAGAAACACTGTGGGCTGGTGGGGAGGGCAGGGGAGGGTCGCTGGGATGGCTGGATCCTACATGGCCGGCTGAGTGGTCAGAGTCCAGACCTGGCCCCTTGAAAAACGTGCGGGGAGTGTGTACCCACAATCCCCAGAGGGGAGGGGACTGCAGCGTGGCCGTGCCCCCAGGCACGTGTGCGGAGGGCTCTGGCAGCTCGTCTTCCCTGGAGCTTTGCTGAGTGCGTGGCCCACAGCGGGCACAGGCCGTCCACCCAGGCGGTCTCCTGTCCCCGAGGGCCGGGTCTCCGTGTCCCGGAGGGCAGCCCCTGCTGCCTGTGGCTCCTGACCCCTGGCCCGTCCCCTGCAGACTGAGGAGGACATCCTGCTGCGGCCCGAGCTGGAGGAGCTGAGGAACGAACATTCCGCGCGCTTCAAGCTCTGGTACACGGTGGACCGAGCCCCGGAAGGTGAGCGATGTGCCCTCCCTGCGTGCCCACTGCGCCTGTGACGGTCCCCCAGAGGAGGAAAGGGGGCAGGAGGGGAAGTGAGGGCCTCGCTCCCCGCTTCCGCAGCTAGAAAACCCGCAGGCCCCGAAGCGCTGCCGCGCGCTGCACTGCCCCCTGCTGGGCGAAGGAGGTCCAGCATTCTGTCCTTGGGAGACTCGCACTGGGGCAGGTTTTCCCAGGGCTGTGTGTGTGTGCGTGCACGCGCGCGTATGTGTGCACGTATGTGGGTGTGCGCGCGTGTGTGTGTGTGTGTGTGGCAGTTACTTCTGCTTTGCAGCTTTGCCCCAGGAGGGCACTTCATGTCCGTTTTCTCTCCTGTCCTTGCCCCGGGAGGTCACGCTGAGGCAGTGCGTGGGGGCCGCTGGGAACCAACTGCCCTTGGTTTTCTGCTAGTGAAGACGCGGGTAGGAGGAATACCCGCAGCGATCAGGCTCCCTCGGCGGTTTGGCTTCGGCAGCAGCAGGGAGTGGTGGAGCTGCGCCCAGCTGGAGGCGGCTGCCCCG